TGTGTGTGTGTGTGTGTACGCGCTCATGTCTTCTGGTCAAGTGTAGTCATAATTCCACAGCCATTCTGTTTCCATTTTTTGCTGCTCTCTCCATTTAAATAGTGGTTTCCCTGATTCTACTTAATTCATTTTGCATCAATTCAAGTCTTCTCATGCTTCTCTGTATTCAATATATTCATAATTTCCTACAGCAAAGTGGCATTCTATTATACTCATATATTAAAACTTGTTTAGCCATTCTTCAAACAACTGATATCCACTATGTTTCCAGTCCTTTGCTACTATAAAAAGTTCTATTACATTTTACTGCCTTTCATTTTGTCACTGACTTAAGATACACGCCTAGTGGCAGGATTTTGGGATCAAAAAAGACAGACATTTTGATAATTCTGACATTTGCATAATTGCTTTTCAAGAATGGCTGGACTAATTTTTACAACCACTCTCTCTGATAAGGGCCTCATTTCTAAAATACATAGAGAATTAAGTTCAAATCTATAAGAATACAAGTCATTCCCCAATCAGTAAATGGTCAAAGGATATGAACAAGCAAATTAAAGCCATCCATAGTCATATGAAAAAATGCTCTAAATCACTATTGATCACAGAAATGCAAATCAAAACAACTCTGAGGTACCACATCACACCTATCAGATTGGCCAACATGACAAAACAGGAAAATGATAAATGTTGGAGAAGATGTGGGAAAACTGGAACGCTAATGCATTGTTGGTGGAGTTGTGAAATGATCCAACCATTTTGGAGAGCAATTTGGAACTATGCCCAAATGGCTGTAAAAACACGCACATCCAACAATAAGCACTTCTATCCCAAAGAGATCATACAAATGGGAAAAGGACCCACATGTACAAAAATATTTATAGCAGCTCTTTCCGCGGTGGCAGAGAATTAGAAATTGAGAGGATGCCCATCGATTGGGGAATGGCTGAATGAGTTGTGGTATATGAATGTGATGGAATACTATTGTGCTGTAAGAAATGATGAACAGGCTGACTTCAGAACAACCTGGAAAGACTTGTACGGTCTGATGCTGAGTGAAGTGAGCAGAACCAGGAGAATGTTGTACACAGTAACAGCCACGTTGTGTGACGACTAATATTGATAGACTTAACCCTTCTCAGCAATACAAGGATCTAAAACATCTCCAAAGGCCTCATGATGGAAAATGCTATCCACGTGCAAAGAAAGAACTATGGAGTCTGAGTGCAGATTGAAGCATATTATTTGCTATTTTTTTTTCTTCTGTTGTGTTTTGTTTCCTCTTATCGGTTCTAATCCTTGCTTACAACATCACTCATGTAAAAATATGTTTCATAGGAATATATATGTATCACCTATATCAGACTGCGTGCCGTCTTGGGGAGGGAGGTGGGGAAGGAAGGGGAGAAAAAATTTAAAACTCAAAAGCTTATGGAAATGACTGTTGATAAATGAAAATAAATTATTTTTGTAAAAAATGGCTGGACTAATTCTCAGCTCTACTAACAATACATTAGTATGCCTCTTTCCACAAACCATCTTTTGGGTGGATAACTTTTTAATTTTAACTTTTTTCAAGTAGCATTTTTTAAAACAAAATTAATCTGTTCTTTCCATACTCCCCCCACCATAGGTCAATTTTTTTAAGTCTAAAAAAAGAAATCCTCTAAAACATATCCACAGGTGGCAAAACAAAACTTCTATATTAGCTATGTATAAAAATGTATGTCTTTTTCCTCATTTTAAGTTCATTGCCTGTCAGGAGGCAAATGAAGTTTTATCTTTCGGACTTATAGGTTTATCATCGTATTGATCAGAGTTCTGTTTTCTCTATAATATTACTGTACAAATCGATACAGTTCTGTTCACTTTGCTCTGCATCAGTTCATACAGGTGTTCCCACTTCCTTCAAAATTGCCCATTTCATAATTTCTTATGGCACAATATTTCATTATATTCATATATCCCAATTTGTTTAAGCATTCCTCAATAGGACAGCCCCTTAGCTTCCAATTTTAGGCTATCATGGTTATAAGTGCTTATCAGCACTTTTCCACTTTGATTTCTTTGGGGGACATAGGTGGTATAGGAGTGACAGTGGTATAGTTAGGCCAAAAGGTATACAGTTTGGTAACTTCTGGGCATAGTATCAAATTGCTTTTCAGAATGGCCAACAGCACCACCAGTGTCCTTGTTTTCCCATGACCCCTTCAACATGCCATTTTTCATTTTTGTCCTCTTTGCCAGTCTCATAGGTATGAGATGAAATCTCAACATTAAGTTGCATTTCTCTAATTATTAGTGATTTAGAGCATTTTTTTCATGATTGGTAATAAGTTGGATTTCTTCCTTTGAAAATTGCTTATTCATATCCTTCAACCATTGATCTATTGGGGAGATAGCTTTTTAAAAAATGAGAAAATTCCACAAAACTAATCAAAATATCATAGAAAGCAGATATTGTATGCAATGTTCTACACCTATGGATCCTCAACCTCTACAAAGCAGTAGGGGAGACTTATCTTCTCGGACCTTCTCAAGGGCAAACTTGTTTAATAATTTTGTAAGTTTCATTCGTGATTGCTTTGTGGCGGTTGTGCTTTTCGTTTATATTGCTGTAGTTGGCCTGTACGTTGTTTCCCTCATTCCACTTACTTCACTTTGCATCAGTTCATATTTTCCCATGCTTCCCTGTATTCATCATAATCACAATTTGACAGCACCACAATATTGTCACATTCATATACCAATTTGTTTAGCTATTCCCCAGTTGATGGGCATCTTTGTTGCCAGTTCTTTGCTACCACAGAAGTGCTGTTATAAATATTTTGGTGTACAATATACTGAGCCTTTACTTTTTGTCAATAACCTTGCTGGGGTACATGCCAGGCAGTGGAATCTCTGGGCATCCTGGCCATTCCTATTTATATTAATTGCCACCAAATTATTAATTATTTAATGCCAAACTGCTTTCTGAAATGGTTGTAGAGGAAAGCACTTTTGTCAATCTTAGAATGCCACAGAAATGTGAGCTACCATTAGTACTGTAAATCCCTGTGCTAGACATTGGTGATGGTATACTATTTAGGTTAAGACTTAGTCCCTGCCTTTAATGGACTTAAGTCTATTCCAATTAGGCACCTAAAAAACTACAGGATCAAATATATAACTCTATCAGAGTGGGGGAAAGGTCATTATCAACCAGGTTGGTTTCGAGCAGGGTTTCCAGGAGATGGCGGCAAATTGCTGTAGTGAACAAAACCGTGACATGAGGCAACTCTCCTTCCAGCCAACTGGAACCTCTTATTGGGCAACACCAGCTGAGTGCTGCTGCTGAGGGGTGGACTGCCTTCTGTTGTAATAGGATTCCCATTGCAGGAGGTCTTCAGGTAGAAGCTGGAAGACCACTATTTACAGTTCGTAAAAGGGATTCCTGTTCAGGTAGAGTTGTACTTGATGAACTCCAATGCTCCTGTCACTGCCAAGATTGCGACGCAAGTTTCTGGCCTGAGGAGTCCAGGGAACGTGGCAAGGTTACAGGGATAAGGCACAATGTAGTAATGATTTTCTTAAAATCAGGATTTATACATCCAAATCAATTTCACCCTTCCAGGTACTAGCTTCAGGAGACCGCCTCTTTTAAACATGTCTACACTTTTTCTTTCACAATGCCAAAGAGCCACACTAGAAATACCGACCTGGTCTCATTACTTCCTAGTCACGCTGTTTCTGATTCAAACCAGTATTACCTCCATAAATGTGTGGAGACTACCCCGCATACCTGGAATGTACTACTCCCTCCTGATTTCAGCCTCTTAATCTTCAAAACTCAGGCCAAGTGCCACCTTACACATAAAGCCTTTCCTGATCCTCACGGTTGACAGCATCTCTGCCTCAACGTTACCTTGCCTTTATTTTAAATTTCTTATTTATGTATATTACTTTCCCCAACAAACTGCTATGATCCTCAAGGTCAGGGACAGTTCCTTATTGTATCCTCAGTGCCTAACTAACAGGACCTGGCACACAGTTGGTGTTTAATAAATGTTCCTTGTTGCTGATCAATTACACAGCTTAATCACTCATTTATCACTAGACTTGTCTCTGAAACAATGCTTAACTGTTTCAATTCAGCAATACATGTAACAAACATTAAGTGCCGAATTTATGGAAAGCATTGTTAAACACTAACCTCTAAATGGATAAATACAAAAGGGAATCTATACAAGGGTTGAGAAAATCTAGTAAGCAAAGGAAGAACAAATAGTCAAATGAGATCAGAGACAGAGGATAATCCAGTTTGGCCAAAAGAAAGAATACTTTTAGTTAATTTGTACATGATAAAGCTAGACAGGTAGGCTGGAGACAAAGTATCTCAGATGTCTGAGTCAGGGTTTTATATTTATTGAGTTTCCCGAAGTCGAATCCATCCTAAAGGACAAAGATAACACACCACAGGCTGTGAAGGCTGTTCCCCGAGGGGAGTCACAGATTTGGTGAATTCAACAGTTGAGCGTCCTTAGAATAAGCATATACCCTTCTGAGGGGTCTACTTTGAAGACTATCATTCCATCATGTTTGTCACAGTCATAACCAATTACCCAGCTGCTCCAGTCAACTGGAAAATCTCCACCAAATTCATAAAAATTTAGGGTGGTTAGGAAACATAAATAATTGGAAACAGAAGCAGGCAGGCCTGGTGATGGAGACACTCTATAGCTTTCATACTGAGATTCTATCAAAGGAGGCAGACCAACTGTCAGCTTTGTCTTGACACTATCTAATATTATTATTACCTTTTTTTTTTTTTGGTTTTTGTTGTTTTAGGTAATGGGGTTAAGTGACTTGCCCAGGGTCACACAGCTAGTAAGTGTTATGTGTCTGAGGCCCCATTTGAACTCAGGTCCTCCTGAATCCAGGGCCGGTGCTCTATCCATAGCGCCACCTAGCTGCCCCTTGACACTATCTAATAAAAAAAAAGGAGGGGAAAAAACACAAAATAAAAAAGTAATTGACATCCCTTTATTTATATATATTTTTTCCTTACATCAAATTTAATTTGTCCAGAAAACATACGAGCATGTTTCTTCTGAAAGTCATACAAAGAAACTGGACTATTGATATTTCTTTAAAATACACAGTAAAAATGTATGACATTGTATCACTTAAATTATGTTTTACATTATCAGTGCATTTCTACCAGTAAGATAATGGTGTATCCAAAGGTCTCTGAACTCTGAAGTAAATTACATTTAAGAGAGGAAGGAATTTCAAAAGTCCAGGGCTCTGGTTACTTTGACTTTAGTCATGCTTGTGAGAAATAAGTCACTCATACATATTAAATAAAAATTGTTGTCTTGCTGACAACAGCCAAGAAATTCAATTTGACAAACACTTACTGAGTGCCTATTGTATGCAGAGCACTGTGCGAGGCACCGGAAATGTAGTTAAGGCTGTAAGTATGTCCTTAATTCAACTAACTCATTCCCTCATACTGAGATAGTTAACCAAAAAAAACCAAAACTCAAACCTCAAGGCCATTTTACTTAGTTGTTCCAGCACTTAAGATAACTTATTTCCATTTTGAAGTGTACACACACACACACACACACACACACACACACGCTCTGAAACATGAAGGCAAATATTTTAAATCACTTTGATATACTTCCTTTTACTGGATTAAAGTTCAGAAGCCTGTTATTTTGAGTTGATACATTAATATAAATATGCTTATTAACTTTTTTTAAAAAACTGTCCTAAAATGCTTACATCTACCTCTGGACTACTTTCAAAAAATAGCCAGGTAACTGTCAAATCTCAAAAGCAGCATCTGGAGTTGGACTGTTCAAAATGCCACTTGGAACCAAGCCAATTAAAAAAATTCCTATAAACATTGATATTTAGATTGGATAAGAGGGGAAAAGGAAAGGTCGACAGTTTATATCTGCTTAAAAACACCCACTCAGGCTCTCTTTAGAGACCTATCTCTGCTTTGTGTAAGCCTGAAAAGTTCGCACAACCTCCTAGAAACATGGTAGATTCTCTGACAGTGAAAAAGCGTGACACTCAACTACTTTTTAACAGTTATAAAATCCCAAAGTTCACATCATAACTCAGTCCTTTTGTTACCTCATCACAAAAACTTTGAATTCTTGGATCCACCATATCTCTGAATTGTACCTGGTGATTTATTTAAGCAGCAATAAATAAAATTCAGCATAGTTCCCTCCCTCCCCCAATACATATATGCACACAAAATAAAAATAACCAAATAGACCTGGTGTCAAAACATTACAAATTTACTAAAACTGACATTTTTATACATAAAAAATCCCAGGATCTTAACTCTGGAAGAAAAAAAAAAGATTTGTTGCTATTGCACTCATGGCAGGCTGAAGAGTCATCTAATCTATTGTCTGGTTCCAAGTCCATCACTGACCCTCTCGTATTAGAGTGATGAGATTTATAAACTGGAGTCCAATAGCCAGTGCCCATACAAAAATGAAGCAATGCTTGACACAGGGCAAGGTAAAATATGGATAAGATACTCAAAGTCCTTCCTAAATCTCTGATGCTCTATCAAAGTGATACACAAGTAGTTGCAAATGAGAATCCAATAGTCAAGTGCATAAAATACCAGAGGGCATAAAAGAAGGAAGAGAAGGAGGAAGGAAGAAAAGGGAATTATAACTGGTAGCTCCAGTGGAAGCTGAGACTTAGGTTCTTGTCTCAGCTCTACTGGCAGGCTTGTGGCTTTAGACAGATCACTTCCTCCCCTTTTCTGGGCCTTGTTTCTTCATCTGTAAAATGAGGGACTTGGTTAGAGGACTGTCAATGCATTCAAGGCTTTACAGTCTATGGTTCCTTCTATAGAACCTAGTCCGCCCTGCTTCTCTCTCATGGCCCCTTCTGTCCAATGAGGATTTAGAGAAAAGTATTCAAGATTAGGGTGCAAAGAGGAAGACTGTAGCATCTTGTTTTGAAGTTACATATCTCTTACAGAGATAGGAGTTTTCTTAATCAAACTTCATCAACTATGGGGTATTTAGATTCAATTTGCAATTAACAGGCTCATTTCCCTTTAAATTCTGTTTTTGTAAAAGTCACTTGAATTCTGAGTGAGTGCCCTCAGGGACTACTGTGCCACAGCCCCATAAAGTTTAGTCATTTTGCTTGCTTCTTCTCTAGCCACAAACAATGCCCAAGGGATGGTCAGCCAAGGGTCCCCTCTCCTGATATCTGTGGGTTTTACTCACTAATTTTAATCTATGCCCCATATAAGGAAATGTCTCTCACAAATGAAAACTCTAAGATTAATGATATATTTGGCAATCATAAGGTCTTTTACCACTGAAAATCAAATTAAAATAACTAATCTAAAATGATTCATAAATATTAAAGTATCCAACCTATCCACTTCAGATAGGAAAAACGAAAACCTGAATGCAATTATTCTCTCTCCAAAGTGTCCCTTGTAGAACGTACAATCCTATTAACTGCTTTTAAGCTGCCATATAACCACTAAGTAAAACACTGAAAGCAATTTAGAGCCTATTCATCGAGTTCTCTTTCCTCACTGTCTATATTTAGCTGCAGGAGTTATTTTATTCCTATACTTCTATACTCCTATATTTAGATGACATATGAAAGCCATACTGTTGATAGTTAAGATTTTTGCCCAAAATATACACCACCCAAATACCATAATTATGGGCCGACTAAGAATTTGGCACAACTATTATTATTAAATAAAAGCTGTGTTGGGGGGTGATATGAATGTGAAAAAATAAGTTTTCCAACTTTCATTATTTTAACACACACAAAAAAAATACTGTTCTAAAGTTTTGTTTTAATATAGATTTTTAAAACTACTCTTGCTTTCAGTACTGGACGGCAAGTTTATATGAAATATAGCCAAATCAAACAACCAGACCACCTAACTTTATCGAGGGAGCTATAACTCACCCTTACCAATAGCAGTTTGAAAATGCCCAGTTTCAAAATACAGTACAAGTATTTCAAAGAACACATTCTATAATTCTTTATCATCTGCCAAATACACAAAATTTACAAATAGTTATACCTTTAGTTGTTCTCAATACATCTAACATTTCACTACTAATGACAAATGATTCTAAAAATAATTTTTCAAAAACCCTCAAAAAAAAACCCAACACACCAGTGGCAGCAAAGTAAGCATCTGACTTGCTGCTATGTATACATTTTTCTAAGAAAATACTATGGTCCATCATGTAAGTGGTGATCATCAAACTGAACTTCGCACCATCAGCTCTCCTAATGATTTACTTTAAAAATTTAAATTTTATCCAAGAAATCATCTATCTGAGTTTGGGATTAAAAATTGAACACTCACCAATCCAAGGGGAGTGCTTAGATTTTTTTTTACATAGCATAAGTATTCTTGAAATAGGAAATGATTGCTGGATGGTAACTGATATAAAGTATGAATCACAGGTCTTAAAAATAATAGTTTTAAAGAAGGCAATCCCAAGTTCATGAGAAATATCATACAACTAAAAGCATACTGAAATGTGTCCTTGTCTATTAAGCTAAAATTTGAAAATGAGGACAACTAAGAAAATCTACTCATTCAAAAACCCCCAAAAAGTCATTATTTACTCAAATATCAAACATTTCAGAAAATAAAATGAGTTGGTACAGTAAATTCAGATACACTAGTTGTCAACCTACTTCATTTGTTTTTTTCCAAAGTATAACTGACACAACTAATTTTAAAACAGGTATGCAAGGCTAGGGATGTATAAGAGAACATACCTGTCAGTTTACTGGTCAAGAACGTTATCACTAGGATGAAAAACCATTCCCCATCTCTGAAAAAGAAATCATTCCCTGACACACAATGTGCAAGGATAAAAAAAAAATTTAAGTGGTCAGATGATATCATTATTGCTCATACATAAAGAAGAAAATAAACAATTTTCTTAATAGTTACAGTTTTATACTGGTGGAAGTCTATTCTGATAGATTTGAATTACATTTTATTTCTGGGGTATACATTCATACATTTATTTAAATCTCCTTTTAAAAAATCAAGTTTTCATTCAAATGAATGTGAATATATCCCTAGAAATATACCTGCCCAATCTAAAGACTGCTAGAGCAACCAAAACAGAGTTAACAGAAAGGGCCAAAAAAAACCCAAAAAACCAACCACTCATCTTAAACAGCTTCAAAACCAAACCCAAACCTCAAAATCGACCCAATAAGAACTAAGTGAAACACTGCCCCCCCCTTTGGAGGGTGGGAATTTGAATGAATTTAGCTTTGTTTTTAAACGTTTGAAAGCTATCACCTGGGAAAACAAAGGAGTGATTCTAAGTCATCTGTAGGAAAGTATCATTTTAAATACGAGGGGAAAAAAAATCACCTGAAAATTTTTTGCCAAAGTAGGAAAGATGGGACCAGATACTTTCTGCCTCACCTTCCCCCCTTTTAAATCCATCATTATTACTTGGCAGTTTATGGTACATCTAATTCTAAGTGCACACAGTGTGTACGTACATTTTCAGTGGGCATGGTTTGTATTCTGTAGATAAGCTAGCTGATGGAATCATGACCCCCATAGGGATGTTGACCAATATATGATTTCACAGGAAGAGAAGGGGGAGGAGGGTCCAGATTGCTTTCATCTTCATGGAATGATAGAAAATTACTTATTTGATCATGGAAGTGTCTGCTTTATTCCAGAAAAATAGGTGCTTTGCCACTAGCATCACCTCAAAGCAAGATCACCATTTCTCACCACCATAGAGGTTCAAGCATGAGGAGGAGGCACTTGTCATGTGCTGCCCAGCGCACAAGCTGCCTCTCCAAATCTCCAGTTGCGTCGCAGGCTGAGGCTTAAATTTTTATTTCCGCAGCTTCTTTCTCAGCCTTTTCCTTTGCCTTCTCTTTCTCTCCCACCTTCTCTTCTTTGTGGAGCAATGCCACAATCTCAGTGACCTGACCCGTGGAGATGTCGATGTCTTCTTTGTCAATCAGTTCGATGACCTACAGGAACCCAAAGAGAACACGGCAGAGTTATACAATGACAACTTTCCAATAGTAACACCACTTACCTATTCCCAAGCTCACTCATGTGGAAACATGCTGCATTTGGAGTCAGCGGATCTGTGTTTGAACCCTGACTCAGCTACTTACTACCTGTGTTACTTTGCCTCTTTGGGACTCTGCTTTTTCATCTGTAAAGCGAAGAGCTTGACTAAATGACTTCTGAGGAAGCTTCCATCTACAACCCTATGAACTTTTAAGCAATGATAAAAACTATTCTGAATCTTCTGCAGTGCCATGAAGGTGAAGCCTCTTTTGGCCCTCATGGGCCCCACACCCAACCCTATGCTGCTGAGAGTCAAGCCCAGCGTGGGCTGGGGCCAGAGCAGGCGCTGTACTCCAGGGTCACAACAGCCTAAAACCTCGAGTCCTCTGTGCAGGCCACACACCCATCTACGAACAATGACACACCAGGAGATAACCAAGAGCAGCACTAGCACAGCAAGTGAGATGAAGAGGAAACCTGGTTGGGGGAAACACAAAGGAGAAAATAAAAGGGAAATGAGAAGCAAAAGGAATCCAGCATGGCCATTGGGAATCAAAGGCCGCCAGAGAAACAGTTCCTTCCTGCCTCAGGGCTCATCCATGTGTTTCAGGGCCCATGAATGCAGGCAGGGCAAATGGACCGGGGTTCCGGGTCAGAGCTTAGCTGAATGAACACGGGACTCAGAGCCAGAAACCCTGGAGACTTTGGGCAGCACAATTCACTTCCCTGGGCCTCAGTGCACTCGTCTCTAACAGGAGGACACTGGACCACAATGATCTCTAAGGTTCCTTCCAGCTTTAAGTTTAAGATCTGGAGTGTGAACAAATGTGGAGTTCACATTTGCAGGCATTTGCAAAAAGAAAGAATCTACTTGATTCAAGTAGAGGTCTCTAGGTATTGTGTTTATTTATGCTCACTTCTGCCCCTTAATGCGACCTCCACTATATATTTAACCCAACAGTGACCTCACCACAATGCAGCTCTCCAATACAGAGAGCCCCCTCTTGGCCCACACTCTCTCAATTCCCATTGCTCCAAATTCCCTCCAGAGAGAAGAACACTTTAAAACCATCTGCAATGGCGCAGTGGAGAGAGCACTAGTCCTGGAATCAGGAGGACTTGAGTTCAAATCCAGTCTCAGACCAGAAACTTACTAGCTGTGTGACTCTGGACAAGTCACTTAACCCCAATTGCCTCATCCCCCTCCAAAAAAAAAAACTATCGGCAATGGGCAACTATCAAAATGGCAAGGTAAAGAGAGACTACATTCCAACCAATGATGAAAACCAAAATGGGATTACAATAGAATTGAGTGTGATGATATCAACCCTGTTCCTCAAAAAGACACTGAAGTAGCTAAGTGCAGAGATGCTCAAGGTTCTTTACAAGCCTGCAAGATGACCTACAAGACTGTCATCAAATTTCTCTTAACTGCCTGAAAAATGAGAAAAATGTTTAAAAAAAAAGTAAATGAAAAGGATGAAATAATAACATACATTTCACATACTATGCTACCCTCACCCTATAACACATTAATATTCTGGCGAATCGTTGTAGATTTGAAGAACATTCCATTTGATTTTTAAAGCTAGTGAAAATTTCCACTTGAAATTTTTATTTCAGGGAAGTTTGTGAAGGAAAAAAAAGGGAAAGAGCAGGCAGGTTAATAATCAGGTATTAGAAACTAACAATGAGAAAAAATGCAAAGAAATTAAAGTATAATTCCTTTCTAGGATCTATTCAACATAACACAAGCAAAAAGCAACAAAGAACACGGAGCAAAAACATAGCAATTTGGAACAAAACAATTAGGGAACACAGAATATTCCTAACTGACTAAAGTCTTCCGTCAAATTTTCTCTCTTTTGTTTACTAGACTAACATACTGCCATTTTATGGATTTGAAAAATCTCTCCCTCCCAACCCCCCTAATTTATGGCATAATTTCAAAGGAGACAAGAGAATCTAAAACACAATATTGGAAATAGTCAATAAAATGATTACATTTTTAACTGAAATCTGTCCCTACATTTCCTAACTGAAACCTGGACAATGAAAGCTTTTTCAGTATGTTTGGGTGGCTTATCTTGTTGGTTTTAACCATGCAATAGAATGTGGGCCCAAGCCAGGTAGAAATACATCAATGAATGGAAGTACAAACTGTATCCTACAACACACACTTTGCAGAAACAAAGGTGAAACTCCAGACATCAAAAGAGGAAGACATGGCTTTTTTCTTTTTAAAGGTAACTGGAACTACATCAATTCAACTTTGGTAAAATTGTACATAACTCTGCACTCTTTTGTCACTGTTAAATCTCACTTGACACTTACCTTGGCAACATCATCTATATTAATCTTGCCATCCTTGTTTTCATCCAGGGCAGTAGCCAACTTCATCAATTTTCTCTCCGGAATTTGCTCAAGTTGTTTCATGACATTTATGAGCTCACCGATGGTGATGACATTTTCCCTAAGGGGGAAACCCAATCTGTATATGGCAAACAGTTACTGTGAACAGAAGAACTAGAAAGAGATATACAAGGAGCAGAAGCATGTCATCATCTCCCACAGCAGAATGCAGACCATATGAGTGGCCCCTGAATTCAAATAGCTCTGCTGGTAGTAACATTCTTTACAGGTCTCCTGCTGTCCAAAGTCCTATCCAAATTAATATTAATATTCAGGGTAAGACATTCCACCCTAGCTACACAGTCTCTTGGTCCCAATATCTTTTCTACTTAAGAGGTTGGGGAAATGTTAAGGGAATTGTTGCAAATTCTAAGTAAGAAATTAAAGACACTTTTCCTTCTTAAAATACTGAAGTGCATTAGTACAAATGACCACCTGGACTGGAAATATGCTACCATGAGAAAGCAGCAAATGCTCAGAATATTGTGTTTCCCTTGGGAACTTGGTTAAGGATCACTGTACCAACCCCTCTGCTCAATAAAATGGGCTTTTAGAATGTCTATACATCATATCTGAATTAGTTATCACTTCCTCCTAAATCAGTTTCAGCTTCTATACATTTCCTTCAAGAGACTGAACCCCGACACAACCTTCTCTTCAAAGGATGCATACCAGGTGAACTTCATATATAGTCTCAGACAATTTCTCCCTACGACAATATGGATCTCTGGTCTTCATTTCTGAAGTCCCTGAACAAGCAAAATCCTCAAAACCTAAGACATCACTGGATACTCGAGCTTTTCCATTAAAATCTTCTGTCAGTTTAAACCCATGAATCTAACTTGCACATCCTGATTCTTTCCCAGTTAACTGCCACACTCTAAAGCTGGTGCCTGTTCCTTTTACTTTCTGAACCAAACTGACTCCAAACCTCTCACCCCCATCCTTCCTCTACCTTAAACCGACCATCTAACCTGCCCAAATTCCCTTCAACTCTCTCCCTTAACCTTAACCCCCTGCCCTGCTTTCTCCAACTTCTTATCCAAAAATAAGGAACAAAGACTAGATATACAAAGTGGAATTTTAAAAAACTATATATTTGATAAAGTATAAGCTCTGGTGCATTTTTTGGTTTGTATTCCTAGGTACAGTTACCATGTCACTGAAATACGGTACTCATTAGGAGAGGGGGAATCTGATAAAACCTTTTGTTAATCTATTATTGCACTAAGGATTCTTTAAAACACAATTTATAGGATTCCTGCTCCAGTCCCATCAGAAAAGGGTTGGGAAATGTTATACTGTGCAAAGTCTAGGCAAGATGCTTGCTTTCAAAAGAGCAGACGGATTATAATAAATGGATGGATAGCCACACTGTAAGTATATCATTCAGTCGCAATACAGACTGTGAGAGCTGAGAAGTAATTTAGCTCATAGGTGGCTGACCAAACCCAGAGGCCTAGTTTAAAGGGAATTCGATGTCAAGAGTATGCAAGGCCCTGTTTTTACATTGTTTTAATATTCCACTATGGAGTTAAACTGGGGTATTTTGTATTCCTAGGGATATGGCTATTTGAACAAAAGTCTATAATAAACTTAAAATTATAGAGATAAAAGCAACAATTTCCGTAGAAACACTAATACCAAATTAAATGAAGTGGCATCTCATCCATGAACACCCCTGCTCCTCCCTGTGCTATCGTATCATCTTTCTCATCATATCAAAAATTCCTTACAATCTCATTACAAGGAAAAAACAAAGGTTCAGAATGGCAAACTACACAAAGCATTTTTATGGTACTTCACCAGAATTCTAGAAGACATATAGTCTGTTCCTCAATTTCTTATTTCTAGATTCTATGAATCTTTCTATATTACCATTTATATGTTATTAAAGCAGAAATAACGTCTAGTCACTGATTAACATCTGCAGCCAAGCAGTGTTTACAGTTCCAGGAAAATATCAGGACCTAGCTAAATGGTGGCTCTTCATCATCTACGTTTACTGACCTCCAATTATGTCACTGAAGTCATCAGGAATAAATTATCTTGGGATTGAAACTATGTGGAGGATGAAGGGGGTGAGGTTGGGTATGGGGGAGGAACAAACATTATAGTTTTCAGGTACCTGGAAGAACTTATATTTAAAAGAACAAAACAAGTGATCAAAGCAAAATATTTCTAAAGTAAATAACTAATTTTAAAAACAATTTCCCCCTAATATTTGAAAGTAACATTGTACTTCGAATAGTCATCCCGTTTTAAAAAATGAAGTCCAAATTAATTTATCACTACTTACCCAGTAGCAACAACATTACGACTGTCCGTTTTCCCCGTTACTGCCTTTTGATCATCCTCTAATTCATGAAGTATTTTTCCTATCTGTCCAATCATCTGGTTCACCCTCTTGGACAATCTCTTGCTTGCTTTAGATTCTTCTATAACCTGTTCTTGACCAGTCTTGGAAAGCTCTTTTTTGATCTCTTGCAAATCCTGATGAAGGTTTAAAAAAGGACACATTAAATCTTCATGAGACATGTTTAAACTTAAAATATAGCTTAACTTCAAGGAAGTAATAAAATTCAAGAGTACTAGCACTGAAAAGATATAAAATGATATGTTAGGTACTTAAAGAGTTTCCACTGTTATCAATCACAGAAATTGCTCACACTCTCTCTCTCTCATGTACATACATACATAAAACTATAAATACACACATTCATATATACACACTCTACATATGTGTATATATATACATATACATGTTACATATAATATACACGTACGTATACACACCATATACTGTCTTTTTGCTTGTGACTAACGTACAATTGAGCATGCAATTATCTCTAATCACCAGAAATTTTATTCAGTGGCAAGAGAAAAAAAATCTTTTTGGATTTCAACTTTTTGTTAATATCTGAATCATTCTTCCTCCTAAAGCCAAATTTTAGGAGCATAAGTGACTGCCTGGGTTCAGGCTATTAATATAAACAACAAAATGAACATTATAATAAAGCAAAAAATTTAAGCTTGCTCCACCCCTACCCCACCTGTATGAAATAATCTTTCATAAGCTTTATTAAAAAAGCAAACTAATATTAGCAGACCTAAGACACACTCCCCCACTTCAAGCCAATACATAAAATAGGGTAAAGTTGCAATTCTTTTTCATGATATGTAAAAATAAACATTTCTTATTAAAGTAACAATAAAACATATTTATCTGTCTCCTTCTTACATTTGGGAACTGAAAGCCACTCTGATTATATACTAAAAGAAATGAATGTCCTTTAGTTCTGCTCTGTGTTTGTGACCTGTCAGTCACATTCTATATTAACTTAGCAATTAAACAACAGCACATCAAGATATGTGTTACTGGTAATTCAAATTTAATGTCAAGTCAAAAAAAGGATGATGCCAGAATATCAGCAGAAATAAATTGTTAATTAATATCAGTATTATTAATTTAAAATATTAATATTAAAATATTAATTTAATTTATGAGATGCAATATAGAGACTTTTAACTACATACATTTAAGAATAATAGGAACCATAATTTTACTTTTATCCCAATCTTAATTCCAGGAGTAAATATCATAAACCAGTAGAGTTTTTCTCATCATCACTCCTGAAAGCAGTTTTGACAATCCATCTTCATTTTCTCTATAAAACACTTCCATTTCTGCAGTTACTCTACTCAGTTAGACAAAGAAGAAATAACTACAACATCTTCTTTCATATACTAGTGTATTAAACAGGGTAACAATGAAGTGATTTTGTAATAATGGCACCTGACAGATAGATACAAGCCATATAAAAATCACTCCCACTTTACAGACTGTCTTTTAATTTGCAAACCATCACCAAATGGAAATTTACTACGAGAAGGAAGCCACTCCCCTTCTCCTTTCTGCCCTATCACAGGCTGCCTAAGCTGTTAATCAGCATCAGGCCAGGAAGAGGGTGAGTGAAAAGGGACAGACAGCTCAGTTCTCCATCTCTTCCTCTCCTATGTCAAAGTGAACCTAATTTCCACCCTCGAGAGCAGTCAAGAACACTGCTGCTCAGCAAAGGTGACAGAACCAGCTAGCTGCAACCCATTCTCATTAGGGCACTTTTTTCTCCTGGTCACTTCCACAGGAGCCAGGAACACTAAGAACAAATATCCTCCATTCCTATTATACTTTTAAGTTTTATGAAGCACTTTTCTTACAACATAGGTGTGAGGGAAGGAAACCAAGCAATCGTGTTGCCATTTTACAGATGAGCAAATAAACTTAGGGAAGGGAAGCAAATTATTCAGGATGACAGATTTCAAATGCACGATGGATCAGCCCTGAAATCCAACAAGTCAATACCTGCTGAAGGACCCTGGAGACCCTGGCAGACAGAACAGTAACATTAAAAAACACTACCCATCATGAGAATAATAAGCCAATAGAGACAGCTTGAAGCTCAAGTGGAAAACGCTTGCCACCAAGATTCCTGTTCTCTCCATCTCTCTTCCCACTGATCCTTGGTACCTCTTTATATTCCTGAACATCATCTTTCAGCAACTTGAGCTCCTCCTTCTCTTTGGTTAACGATTTCTTCTGTTCCTTCAGTTTACTGCAAGCATCGCTAAGCAGGTCAATTTCTTCCTTGGTTATTTCTTCTCCCTGGACAAAAAGTAGAGCCCCAAATAATAAATGAGAACACTTGAACTTTGTTCCTGGATAATTTCACAGGCTCAAGTTTTCAAATACCATATATTCCCATTATATATTCATAGTGGTTGTCTAACTACCATTTTATCAATTTAAAAAACTAAATAAACCTGTTAATATTAAAATTAAATGTCAGAGGACAGAGGTACAGAAGGCATTAGATAAAAGTTAACAAGATCATAAATGGCATAGAGAAGATGACCCCATGGAATGTTCACAAGATGCCTCAACAGAAGACTTACAGGATGCAAAAACTGAAAGGAATCCTTAGAGACCATCTAAAAAAGCACCACATTATAAAGATGGGGAAAATGAGACTTAGAGAATGGAAGTTAGTGCCTATGCGGTATCAAATACAGATCTGCTAGCCCTCAATCCAGCATTTCTTGGTCTAGACTATCTGGCTCTAAGTAGGTGGTGTGTCACCTCTCTAAAAAAAAATTTTTTTTAGTGATATCTTTGTTTTTTACATCATCTTCCTTTCAAATATATCTCCTCCCATTTCACTACCCAGAAGATACCCTTATGATGAAGGGCATAATGAATACCCACATAATAAAGAACAAAACAAGTGGGGGAAAAAATTCCAAAAAAACACATCACCTCTCTTAATAGGCCAAGCAACTTTCTGGACCTTTTAACACCTTCTTCCCTTGCTGAGAGTAAGACATGTCTCCCTGTTACTTATTTACTGCTATGAAAGAATTATGTCTTCCCATAAAGTTAAACTCAATCTTTTACATAATAAAAATTTTTAAGGTTTTTTTTTTAAAAAGTACCAGATACAATACCTGTGTTAAAAAATAATTTTATATCTCATTGACTGAGGGAATTGTGGAAAAAGCTCTGTTTCATATCTTTAACATTCCAGTGGAAAACCTCAGCAGAAAACTGGCACTCAGCTTTATTGTTCCTGTCTAAAATACTGAGTGACAGCAAGAAGCACTTTAGTGTCACCAGTTTCTCAGGGACACATGAGGACAACACACTCTTCCAGCTGCAATGTGATCTGAAGGGGAAAAAAAAGATGGGCTCCATCTGCTGACCAATTTCGCAGGCTAAATACAACTAGGTGGTTAAGAAGATACATTGACATGTATTTGAGGATCACAACACTAAAAAAGTAGCAACTCTCAGAACATTTCCCTGAATGATGGTTTCCATACACTGGAAAACAATGTAGAAATGTTAAAATTACTAATCCTTAGGAGAAAAGAAAAATCCATGTCTATACAATAAGTGAATCCTTATTTGTAAAAATGGTGTTCCAATTCTTTTCTTGTTCCTTTATCTTCTAGATATTTTAATGTATCAACAATTTGGGAAAGAAAACATTAATTACTTGGCCTCACTATACACAGAAGTAGGCTCAAATTTCCTAACGTGAGAGCTCCAAAAAGAAGCCTCTTGAAGAGGCACTAAATTTGCCTCATTTCACCAAGCTAAACAAGGGCAGGGTTGGCGAGGCTCACTCCTCCTGTCCATTCTGGGAAGTCCTTCAAGGCATTCTCGGGCCTTGGGTGGCTGCAGATCAGCAGCACTCACTGGCTGCATATTCCAGATGAGTTCTTGGACAAGGACCATAGCTGCTGCCCCCTTTTTACCACTGGATTTATCCTGCAACAAGCTCTCTTTGTGATTACTGCCCTATTTAGACTACTTTAGCCCCTATTTCTTTACACTGCTACTCACACTAATAACTTCAACTTAGATTTATCTGCAGTAAGTTGTAACTACTTTATAAGCAATGCTTTTAAGTTAACACAATCCCTACACTAAACAAATTGTCTTTCAAACACTAAAAAAAGAAGACTAATTTTTAAAAACAAATGTAGAGGAAGTACTTATTTCATTAGGCTTAAAAGTTTCAACTTCTAGTAACAATAGAATACAGGAGCAAGGTCTCCTGGTGTTACTAGAGCATCACGCAGCCTATAGAAATGTTGTTCACAGTGTTGGAATTTATAGAATTTTAAGCAAATAATGGGGAAACTAAGTTCTTGGAGTCTCACCACACCCTAGGACATTGCACTAAAGTACCTAGTACTAAGCATTTAAAAGTTCAGTTTTATAAGCAAAAATGACACGTTACAGGAAATCGACAGGATTCCAAAACTATCAGAATGTATCCAGACCTTAATAAATTAGCAACTGCTACAATAAAAATGTTACAGTAAAACTTGTTTCCCAAACAGCTGAGGATTTTACTTTAATTTTTTCTTTTTAATGCAAAGTCTTTCTACAACTCTGACACCTTAAAGCTACTATACTAAACTTGACTCACTTAGACCTGAGTTCAAATCCAGCCTCAAACTAGCTGTGTGACTCTGGGCAAGTCACTTAACCTTGTCCGCCTCAGCTTCCTCATCTGTAAAATGGGGATAATAACATCGCCTATCTCCCAAGGATATTGTGATGATCAAATGAGATAATAATTGTAAAGTGCTTAGCACAGCACCTGGTACACAGTAGGTACTATATAAATTAAAGTTGTTTACTACTACAACTACTAGTACTACTAGCACCACCACCACCACTACTACTACTACGACTACTAGTACTACTAGCACCACTACTACTACTACTACTACTACTACTACTACTACTACTACTACTACTACTACTACAACATCTTCTTCTGCTTAGTTGGTTCATCATTACCAAAGGATCTGGAGTTGGAAGGATCATCTAGTCCAGTCACTTCCATTTATGTATGAAGGAAGGGAAGCCCAGAGTTTGCTCAAGGTCAGTAATTACTCAGTAGCAAAGCTGGGCTCCAAAGCCAAGTCCTCTGGCCCCAAATCCAGCTACTACTGCACTGGTCCATACTGCCTTACAGTTATGATAGAGATGCGGATGCCACATTCTACAGCGAATGTCACTGTCCTGGCTGGGAAGGCAAAACTAGGTCTTCAAGAATATTGCGGTACAACAAAAGGGGCTGTTGAGACCCACTCTGGGCTGGCTGCTACTCCCCCTCCTCTGCCCCCAGACACAGTGCTACACTCCCTCAAGGGTTATCAAGGTGCTGATGGCAGTTTAACCCAAAAAACAATAGAGATGTTCTGTCTCATCACTGCTGAAATTACTTCCCTGCCAGTGACCTCTAATGCTGGCACTGGGCTTGGAGTCAGGAAGATCTGAGTTCAAATTCCATCTCAGACACTAGCCGTGAAACCCTGGATAAGTCACTTAACCTCTTTGTCTCAGTTTCCTTATCTGTAAAACAGGGATAGAATGTAAGCTCCCTAAGGGCAGAGACTTTTTACTTTTTTATTTGTAGCCCCAACACTTAGCACAGTGTTTGGCAAAAAGTAAATACTTAATAAATACTTGTAGATTGACTGAATGATAGCACCTACCTCATAAGATTGTCATGAGGATCAAATGAAATCCTTACTTGCACAGCACGTCAAGAGCTACATAAATTGTGGGCATTCTTCTTCGTAAACTACCTCCCCATCTGCCCAGCAATAAGATAATCCACTGCATGTTTCCTTGCTTCACATACAAGGATACCATGGAATATGATCAAAAGTTTTCCCAAAAAGAATCCCTTATTGACTGGTGTTCTTCTGACCTATCAACTTTGTAACCTTTTTGCAAAAAGGGAAAGAGGGTCAGTCTTATTCTTAATGACCCTACATTGGTTGGATGCTAGTGATCAGCACACACTTTTTTAAATGTTCAAAAGCTGTTTTAAAAAACTGCTCTAGAATTTTGCTGGGGATTCAGATTAAACTGATGACTTTGCAGGTTTGGGAATCCACTTTCTCCTGCTAGGATAACAACTGTTTATCTCTTGCTTTCTGTTACTTTCCCCATTCTATATAATTTTCCAAAGATCATGAGACCATATCTTCAAGTTCATTTAGGAGCCCAGGACAGAATTCAAATATTTATTTTTAGGTACTAGGAGAACAAGAACAAATGTAAAACAGACCCTCTTAATTAGGGAAATACAACATGCATAATTAAAGGCAATCAAAGAGAGAACCCTGACAACTGAGAAGATCAAGGAAAGCTCTGCAAAAGATGGGTGCTGGCAAAAATGAGAGTCAGTGTCCTCCATGCTAGGCAGAAAAACTATAGAAAGGAACATGTGGAATGCCAGAGAAGGAAAGGTGAGTTTGAGGGAAAGTTTCATGTGTTTGGCTGGAGCAGAGGGTAGTGTGGGAAGTCAAGGGAAACCAGGATAGAAAAGCCTGTAGGGCCAGGCTGAAGAGTTTCAATTTTATCCTAAAAGGAATCAAGCAAGTTCACTTAGCAAGACTGGGCGCTTTTTGCCATCCCTCTGAATTATCCTGAGCTGGGACTGGTTCATTACACTGTGTGTTCTACCCTTTCCCTTGGAAAACCACTTTCCATGACGGAGAAAGGGAGTGCCACTTTACCCCTGCTACCTGAGAGTACTGCCTCTCCAAACCAGGGCACTTGGTTTTCTCTTCTGTTTTACTTCCAAAGTTCATTTTTTAGAATTCCTTTTTGCGTTCTTCACATTTTCTGCAATACTCAAGTCACTCTGGGCTTTATTTAGCCTTCTTAACACTAGATTTACAAGTTCATGCTACTTTTTTGCATTTGTCCTTGTTTAGAAGCCTTATCTTCCAACTTAGATATTTAAAAACAATCCTAACAATTTTATTTATACACAGGGCTTACAAGTACATTTTAATATTCATGAGTGGAATTTTTTTGGGGGGGAGGCAAGGGGTGTAAAACAACTCTACATTTTCTCTGGGGTTACTGATACCCTAGAGAAACAGATGTTGAGAGTAAAGGTTAATAAAATTACATTTTCTCTTCTCACTGCCACAAATATCTCCCAGCATTTGCTTCCTAGCTTCTTCTAGCCTCCTTGTTTTTTAATTTCTTCATCTTTTTTGTTAAGGCAGGCAAAAATGTGGACAAAATAATGGAAATTTTTATCAGTCAAAGTTACTGGTATTCATCATCAAACCTGCTCTATTTTGACTTCATAAAGTAGGACAAATTATTTATTTTGCTTTTTTCATGAATATTCTGTTTATCTAGAGTCAAGTAAAACCTTGTGAAATACTGAATATACCAACAGGGTTTTACTGATCTGGACCTATTGAAACTTCTCCCCACAATTCCTACCTGACCTTGCAAAAACATTCGAAACACTACGGTTTGGCATGTCAGTTACCTTCAGGCCTTCTAAGACTGGGGCAGTGTCAATCAGAATCTCCGATTTCAGTGGCACCTTGGTGAGCTCTGGCTCCAGACCTCGAGATTCAGGGATTGTTCTTTCCTGCTGAAGGACTTCTGGACCCAACTCAGCTTCTTTCTGAATTGAAGGCCACACACAAATCAAAAATAATTCCACAGTAGTAGGTAGTATATAGAGTAATAGTCTATGAAGGTCACCACACAAGTTATGTTATTAAAGTTCCCACCTTAAATAAACATGATATAAACATTTGGATTAGCAAAATATGAATTAAGGAGATCAATTCCTTAATTTACAAAAGAACCCTTGACTGGATTCCTTCACATGATTTATGAAAAATAGGATTCAATTTAAAAAATTCTACTTATACATAACAATTTCAAAAACACATTATAAAGTAAGGTAAAAAAGCAAAACAGTATTTTTAAAATACCTTGCAAATTACGAAATCATGTTCCTATTTGGGTTGTGGGGAAACAGGGGAAGGGTGAAAGAAAGTGAGGAGTAAAGAGGCCAAAAGAAGACCATAAAATGACTGTAATGGATATATAATTTATATATATCTTCACATATACATATATATAATTATATAACTAGAATATATGTATATATACATATATATATAACTATATATACAATTTATATATAACTTTTACATTGAAATACATTTAATTCTCAATTATTCTTGGACAAACTTAGCTTAAAGATGCTGAGTCACCCGTGCCACTTAAACAGTGTGTTAATTGTAGGCTGAATCTAATTAATATGAAATTTTAAAAGTATAAATGTGAAGTCTTTCACCTGGGTTAAAAAAAAGTTTAAAACTTCACAAATATAGGATGGGGAGGCAAAGTTGGACAGCAGTTTGGAAAAAAAAAACAGGGGTTTTAAGCTCAATGAATCAAGAATGTGATCTAACACTAACACCATGTTGCACTCCAAACCAAATAGTAATGAATTTTTAGATTAACTTATTATTCTGAATTACCATGACTATCACCTACCTCCATCTACTCAGAAAAGTATATAAATTACCAAAAACACACACACACACACACACACACACACATAGACTAGAGCACTAGGTATAAGATAATCATACGCTTTAGGACTTTCGCACAAAATAAAATGCAGTGCAAAGAGATGCTACAAGTTACACATTTGATTCAACAAACAAATTATGTGTTTGTGTGCACCGCATTATGCTTGGCCCTGAAGAAGATGTAAGAGCATGGAAGTAGCAGTCTTAATAGATGAAGCAGAACATGAGCTAGACTTTACATACAGGAGATTACAATGGCAACAGAAAAAATAATGAATTGGGGGTTGGGAGACAGCTTAGGCAGGAAGACTAGTTATTGTACTACTCTGTTCATAGGATAATTAGGGCCTGACTAGGATAGTGACAGAAAGAAAGGAAATAATGTAAGAAAAATAAATTCCACTGCAATTAACAAGACATGTACCCAATCAAACATAAAGACTTGAGGAAAAATGAAGAGCTAAAGATACATAAAAATTCTGAACATCAGTAATTGGATTAAAAGCATAACTACAAACAGAAATGATCAAGTCCAAAGGATGCGGAGGTCAGGTGGAAAGATTACAAACTCAATTTTGGAAAGGTTGGATTTGAAGTGCCATGGGGACCACCAGGTGGGGTTTTATGGAAAGTTGGGAATCTAGGCCTGGATCTCTAGGTATCAGGACTGGAGATCTAGACCTGAGGTTCATCTGTGTAAACTAGAAGGAAAACTGTGGGAACAAATGAAATTACCAAGAGAAAGTATGTAGGGAGGAATAATGAACGTCAAGGACACATATTAAGGAAAATACCCACATTAAGGGGTTAAGAAGTAGAGGAAGAAGGGGCAGCTAGGTGGTGCAGTGGATAGAGCACCGGCCCTGAATTCAAATCTGGCCTCAGACCAAACACTTGACACTTACTAGCTGTGTGACCCTGGGCAAGTCACTTAATCCCAATTGCCTTAATAATAAAAAAAAAAAGTAGAGGAAGAGCCTGTAAAGGGCTCCCAGAGAGAAGTAAAGAGCAAGAAGAGAAGAACCTAAAGAGTATGATGTCTCAATAGCAAAAAAGAAAGAAAAAAGGCAAGGTGGTTGCAGAGAGCCTAAGAAAAATGACAACAAAAAAAGGCTAACGAATTTGGTGCTTTGGAGGCTTTGCTCCCCTTTTCAAGGGTAGCTCCAAGAGGGTAGTAGGAACATAAGTCAGATCATAAGACAAAAGAGAGAAGTTATCAAAGGAGAGGAGTTAAGAGATATATGAGACCTTTTCAGAAGTTTGGCAGTGAAAGGAAGAAAAGATGGAATACTAACTATGTGGGACAACAAGGTCAAACAACAATTGTTTCAAATTGGAAAAATCTGTACATGTATGCATGGTAAGAAGTGAAGGAACTTAAAATTGAAGATACACAAAAGGAGGATGATTACTGGAACGAAACTGTAGAAGAGGCAATAAGGAATGAGATTAAGGGTACAGGGAAAGAGATTAGAGATTAGTTTTACTGAGGGATAAGGACGTTCCTTGTCTGTGACTGGAGGGAAGGCGGAGAAAACAGATGATGATACTGGGGTTTGAAGGATGAAAAAGAGGGGAACTGAGAATGTTAATATCCCTTGACTTCTATCTTCTTGGCAAAGTTAAAAGACTAGATTGGTGTCAGCAAACTACAACCCACAGGCCAAATCTGGTGCAACGTCAGTTTTTGTACAGCCTGTGAGCAAAGAATGGCTTTTACATTTTAAAATAGAGCTTTCTTGGAACATAGCCATACTTATTTGTTTTCTTATTGTGTACAGTTGCTTTTGTGTTACAAAGGTAGAGCTGAGTAGTCAGGATGGAGACACTATGTGATATTCTCATCACTTTACCCCACTACTCATGCAATACCAATCATAGTGATGCACTTATAATTTGACAGTGTTTGCAGGTCCACAGCACTGTGACATCTTAGTTTTTTTAATTACCAGAGTTAATCATCTTGTCAAAACAAGAAAAGCAGAGGAATAAAAAAGTTTTACTATGATTTTCTGAGCTCAGGGCTGAGACTGAAATTTTTCTGAATGAAAAGAAGTACCTTCAACCTCTAATATTGAACACTGAATGGTTTTGGAAATTAACTTTTGCAGAAGACTTAATGGTGTTTCTTAATAAATGCAGTTTAAAATAACAAAGCAAAACAGCACTTACATGCAAAATTTATACTGCAATAAAGTTAATTCAATGACAGCTAATACTGTTTGAATCACAAGTAATGTCAAGCTGCTTTTTATACTTTCTGTGCTGTCAAAAGTCAAAACAAGAAGTGAGAGCTCTATCCCCACACAAATCTACAATGGATTTCTTTTCGGAGCCCAAATTACACTTCCGGCAATGTTTTTTGAACCTCAGTCCAAGTACAAAAGTAATTTTCATATTTCAAGGTCCATCTAACTGTGCAACTGAGGACTTTTCACTTAACCTTCAAATGAAAATGATTAATCTATAATGCAATGAGAAGCCAAAAAGCAAACATCCAAAGAAGAATCAAATAGGATTCTGTAAGTGCCTTCTAAGCAATGACTATGTTCAATTAAAATCATGTTCATGGACTAATATTATTTTGGCATTACTTATCTTTGTGAAAAGAGATTTCCAAGGATGAAATATGAAAAATCTCATTAAATATCAGCATTAACAGATGAACATTTGCAATCAATTTTGATAAGGAAAACTAACTTTGACTCTGAATCAAGCTAAATCTTACTCCCCTCAAAAAAAGAATCACATTCTTCTCATTAGTAGACTTGTGTGTGTATGTATGTAGGTACACACACATATATGTATATATACATACATGCTCAATTTGTATTATCATACTTTTTATTTCATCAATTTGTTTTCTTTCTTGTTATACAAATACCTACACATTACCCTTGATTTTGCACCTTAGTCCACAAAGCTTGAAATATTTAGTACCTGACTCTTTACAGAAATGTTTACTAATCCCTGGACTAGATTAGTGACTGTGTGAGAGGTGAGGTGACACTAGATTCAGGAATGAGAAAAACGTTTACAACAGCTATTATGGGCAATGAGAGAACATTAAAGAACTGTTATATTACTAAATGACACTGGGGACCAAGATAAGGTTATGCATTGTCACTATGTAGTGGATATTATGTAGGAGATGACAAAGTTCTTTTCCCTGACTTCTTCCAGTAATGCTCAGAAGCTGTTAACTAGCAATGGAGGAAGCGGATGATAAGAATTATTCAGAGATTAGGATTAGGGGGATGGGAATGATGGAAGGTTCAGAAGTTGAGGAATTCTAGTAAGGTGGTGGGACCACTGAATCATTAGAGTTTGTGAGATCATGGTTGCATATGGAGACAAATGAAGTCACAGTGAAGATGATGATAAAGAAGAAAAGCCAGTGGTCAAGGAATCTGATGGTCACAATGAGGGATAAAAATTAAGATAAAGTAAAAACAAAGTACCTTTGAGAACAAATTTTGGGGGACGGTTTAAGGGGTCAGAAAGGAAAACCATGGAACTTTTAAAAATAGTTGAAAATTTGTTTTCAGTTTGCCCCAAAATACCACCATTTCTATTCATATCCTCCAAATAGATAAGAAAACATCATCATTTAAAGCAAAGAATTACTAGATTAAGTAAACAGACACAAGTTAAGGATCTAAAAACCCAAGGAAGCATGCCACCACCATTTTATTTTCAAATACAAAAATCACCTTTCCAGCTGCTTCTTCCTGGAGCACTTCTCTGGCCTTCTCAGAAGCTTCAGTCAACCTTTCCTGCTCCTCCTTCTCTTTATTTTCTTGTCTAATGGCTTCTTCTTCCATCAGAGTGGCTTCCAGCTTAGCTTTATTGTCCACTTTCTCACCTTCAACTTCAGCAACTTTGACTTTAGCTTCTTTGGCCTGTAAAAGTAAAACAGTATGATCTATGTCCTACACGTGGCCCTAAAGTCGCACTTCTGAATAGTCTAAAAAGACTATTTGTAACCATTACAACGGGGGAAACCATTTTTAAGTGAGAAACCAATCCCCCTGTCCAACACCACATGCCGATTTTTAAACGTCCCTCCATTTTCTTCCCTCCTGTAGCTATGCAAAGAAAATGTCAAAGTCTAGAAATGTGGATTCTAAAGAGTCAAAAATTTGCAAGGCAGTATCATAGAGCATTTAATATTATTTCTGCACATATGGATTGCACAGGGGCAAATATGAATGTCTGACAATGATGCCCAGTTTTAGAAGAACCAAAGAGGAAAAATTCTATTCTGTATCTGATTCTCATTAACAAGGAGATTTGGGGAGTTGAAATGTTAGGACCCTTGGCAGGGGGAGGCACAGGGTGGGAACCTAATCCCTCCAAGAGTTTGTGTTAGAAAAGAGAACTCTAGGTACACTCTGAAAAGCACCAAAGATCTGAGGAAAAGATTTTTCAAAAGTTCAGAAGACAGATAGAATCTAATGGACTAAAATAAAATTCTACAAGGGAAGTCTGCCCAAGAGGAATGGAACTACCAAAAACAAAATTCTGAAAACATAAAGGGAAACAATTCTAATGAGGAGGAAAAAATGAGATTTATGAAAATGGACCAAATAGATACACACAACCAACCACCTTGAATTATAAAAAGAAATGTACAGGAGAGAGAAGCCAGGCCAGGTAACTGAGGATAAACATAAGACCACAGCCGAGGCCTGTAGGTGTGTTAAGGCTCAAAACAAGAGAAGGCTGTCAAGTGAAGCTAAAGGTGACAAAATTGGTTGGTTTTAGGAACTAGAGATGGAGGTGTTAATTTTTTTTAAGCTATTTTGAGGAACTACAGTAACAAAGAAGGGACAGGACCTTTGTGGTAGCCAGGATCACAACTGACAAGAGAGAGAAGGCTGAGCTGCTTAAATCTGATTTGGCTTCTGTTTTCTCTGCCAGAAAGAATGGCATTGGTATTGGAAAAACCACACAAAAATGACGATCAGGGAGATGACACCCCCTACACAAAGTCTACTCCGCCAAACTAGAACAGGAACATGCCAGGATTCACAGCACCAAAATTTTGAGGTGAACCATGACATCCCTTTTTTTTTTTTTAACCATCAATGAATGACTAAGTTCTACGGATCTTGCCCAGGATTACACAGCAACACAGTAGTGGCAAAGGCCATAGTGGAATGCAAATAACTACCTCTATGTTACTAATTGTTCAAGATGTTCCAAATATGTGGGATTTGGGTTTACCAACCTGAGATATAGTCCAATTAAAGAATGAATAATTTAACTGGCCAGTGAATGAATGGCATTTATATTTTACCAATGTTTCACTCCGAAAGACATGTCCCATTTTTTTTCCCTGTTCTTGTGGCCATATGATGGTCTTCAAAATAGAGGTCATGAAAGCTTAATATCAGGTCACTTTCCTCATCTCTATAGTGGTAGATATCCTTTCCTATCTTCATCTCTAACATTCCAAAATCTGTTTACCCTGTCTGTCTGGTGCGATGGGAAAAGTACCAACCAGTTTTGGAGGCTGAAGACCAGAGTTCAAGCCCTAGGCCCAAATTATAACACTTCTGTATGTTTCCTCCATGTAAAATGGGGATACAATAGTTGCACTCACCTCCTTTACACAACTATTATGAGGAGAGCATTTTGTAAATTCTGAAATGCTACAGAAATAGTAACACTATGGGAACTGACCCCCTAATGTTTCCCCTAATCAAAGCCCTGCCCAAAGGCTAGCCCAGGTACCCCTTTCTTAAACGGTCCTTCTCTGATCACAGCACTCCAAGAGAGCTCTTTGTTGCTGGTACCATTCATGTCAGATAGTCTATCTTGCAACTTCATCAAATATTTCTCTCTAGTAGAATTGTATTATCAACTGGGTAGCAAGCCTCTAGCAATAGGGCTTGGTTTAGACCTCTCTGCTTCCTCCGGCCTAGTGACCTCCCCAGAATCGAAGCCCAATAAATGCCTACTGCTGTTGACAATGACAGGGTGCTGTCAAGAAGCAAGTTATTATTTGTATCAGAATGGCTATCTAAAAGATATCATAATGATGCGATAATTTGTGGAAATTTATATTTACAGATTCAGAAAAAAGACTAAGATCAAAATGTATTCCCTACATTAAAAGAAAAACTGCATTAGATATGTCATACTTACTGCACTCTCCGGAAGGGTCTGTAAGGTTGTTTTGAGCTGATCAGCTGGTGACAGGGTTTCAGGCAGATACATAGCTCTGGAGAGGAGAAGTAATGAAGTAGGGATTTCCTGGTTCAGATGGAGGTCTAACCACTACAATTCAAAAGAGATCACAGATTATATGAAATGTTTTGTTTTTGAAATTACTCTTAAGCATAATACAGAAAGACAGTCTAGTAAGGGTCTCTTAGATTCAGGATCAGATAAAATAACTCTCACAAGTATTTCTTTTTATTTTTTACAGATCTCTAAGATACTCTGAAGAGGCAGGGTGGTGTACTGGACAGGGTGCTGGATTTTGGAATCAGAGAACCTGGATACAAATCCATTAATAACTATCTATATAAGGCAAATCACTTAAGCCTCTGTGGATCACGTTTCCTCTTCTGTAAAATGAGGGTGTTAGACTAAATGATCTCTAAGGCCCTTCCATCTCTAAAGACACCAAATACTTGAAATGTCTTCCTTCCATAAGTCTTCTCTTTGCAGATGAAGCAGTCCCAAATTCCTTCAACAGGTTTTATGACATAGTTTCAAGTTCTCTATTCTAGACAAACTGTAGCTATCAATGTTTCTTCTTAAACATGGATCCAGAAATGGGTATAATATTCTAGATGAGATCTGATTACTGCAGAGGACCAGAAAAGTATCATACCACCTTCCTTGCTCCAGACCGTTAAGAAAGGAAGGACCTCCCCCCCAGCTTTTTCTAAGAAGCTACTATATTTCTCTGAAGCCCTGAGTCCATTAGTAGGGGATAGAAAAGGAAGGCTGTGACAGTAAAGACCCGGACCTAGGGTGGGTCTGGGCTTTCTGCTCCTAGACTAAAAGCTGCCAATGAGAAGCAGCAGCCTGGAAGCCAGAAATCCCATGAGAGTTGAGAGGAAAAGAACATTAGATATGAAATCAGAAAGCATAAGTCCAGATGCAATATTCATCCTCTATTGGCCTTGGGACAACCTCTTTTTGAGTTTCTGCATTATCACCTATAAAATGGCATTACCTGATCCCAATTAGTATCTGTGTATGCAAACACACGCACACACATCCACATCCATGAGAGGCAAAGGAGTACAGAAGGGACAAAAAGTTAACCTGGAAGTCAAGATGTCCACCTCGTCCACACACTGACCGGGCAGGTCATCATCCCCCACTGCCCTAAGCAGCTCTCTAAGATTAAATTCACACAGCAGTGGCAGATTTGTATTGACAAGATGGTGTTTCCTCATAAGGGAACTCCCTACACTGATGAGAGCACAGGTCTAGGCAAGAACAATGCACAAACACATATGTGTACACATGAATAGATACTTAACACTACCAATGGTACCTGAAGTTGGGACAGATGAAGTCAGGAAACACAGCAATAGCAAACCACGTACACACAAAGGAAATCCATGCTGGAGATGTCAGGATTTTGAAAGCAGAGAAGAAGTAATTTTCAAGATCTCAGAGATGATAGCTTAAGGAGATGATGGATGGATCGAATGAAGATTTTTTTTTTTAAGAGTGAAGGAGATCTGGGCATGTTTGAAAGCAGCAGGGCAGGAACGGACAAAGAAGGACAGAAAGCTTACCAGGGAGGAGAAAGGGGAAGGTGGTGACTGAGAAAGGAATCTGCTAGAAAAGATGAGAAATGAATTACACATGTAGATCGGTTAGCCTAGGGAAGGAGAAGGGCCACCTCATTAGCAAAGACTGGGATAAAGGGAAGAAAGACTCAAGGATAATGTCAAGGCATTCTGAGATGAAGAGATAGGGAAAAGAAAGAGGTCATGGCAAATAGCCTCTATTTCTCAATAAAGTGTGAGGCAAAGTCCTCAAGCTTGACAGGGTAAGGGGGGAAACTGAGTTTTTGTCTGGAACAGGAGTAGCACACTAGGTTGAATTTGGAAATGTGCTATACTTTAAATGATTCTAAGCCTGACACAAAAATCCATCACTATTTTGCTGGTAATGCTTCATGGCTACAAATAATGAAATACCATAATCTCCAAAGAACATAAATTATAGATCATGCAAAAAAGGCAATGGAGAGACATGTGGTAGAAGAAGGCTGCCTACACCATATTTATGAACAATGACTTGCATGCAAGAAATGGCATTAGAAATTATAAACAGATGAGTGGAAAAACTAGTCACGCAGGGAAAACTATCCATGGCACATTACAAGCCTTCTGCACATGATGCAGACAGTCAAGGGAGGAGTTAGGGCAGAACACAAACCAGATCAGGCCAGAAGCTGAGGGCAGCTGGAAGGTGGGCTGACCTGGCAGAACATGTGCCCACATCACAGGACTCAGAGCACAGAATCACTCAAGGAAGGACCAACATGTCAAGAGTCACACATACCACTACCTTCAAGTGAGCCCACAGAAAAAATGTCTCTTTCTGTACCTCTAGAATAGGGAGAAAAATCCTAGCCTAAATCAAAAGATTACCTCATTCCTTTCCAAGAAAAAAGATCAATTCTAGATTACTTAGGAGCTAATTATAGTATCTGTGGAATATAAAGATACTCTGCTTCTGCTTATTAGTATTCATCTAGAAGGTTCAAGGTGAAACCAACTTCATTTTACTTATTAGCAATGCTGTCAGATAGTAAGGCTTTGAGGTTCAGAAATTATCTACTGATTTGGTTCATTTATGTTTCTTCTGGCCTAAAAAAACAGACCAGAATTTCTGAAACTGTATTCCAAGGAACCCTGAGTAAGCCACATGATGACAATCAAAAGAAATTTCAAGGGAAAATGTAAATACTAGCAACATTTTTTAAAAAGAGTTTTTAAAATATATTACAAAATATTTATCACAAGTTAACTTTTTCAGTATAAAAATGGTCTTTTACACTCTAAATTTTCCTTTATTCCCCACTTTATCTCAAAGCTACTATATGGCCTCAGAATCCTGAGGACCAGTGACTTTATGGGTTCTGAAATTAGTTTGAGAAATGCTAAAACGGACAACAAAAATGCATCTAAAAGGGTCCATTTCAAATGAGCATCTCAAAACAGTAATTATCCCAATCCATTCGGCACCAGGCACAACTGATACGTTTGCAAAAAGTCACAAGGCTGGGATTGGTTATCAAGTCAAAATGCAATTACAGATTTTCAGTCACTTTGTGACTCTCAAGAACAGCCCACATATTATCTAGTACATTCACAATTCAATTTGCATAAGAGTTAGCAATTCCTCATTCTGTACAAACTATAAATTAGTGCTTGTTATTTACCTGTTTAAGTTGTTCCCTGAGACGTTCTTCGGTGACTCCCAAAGCCCTCATGCCTCGTGCCCGACAAGCAGCTTGTAATTCTTTGACATTCAAAGTATCTACTCCTTCCTCAGCAATAAGCTGTAATATAAAATGAAATACAAGAATCTCAAAAATGTGATTTTTTAAAAAAATTACTAAAGGTTTTATGAAGCCAGCTATGATTAACACAACTGATTAGTAAGCTCTAGCTTATAAACTATTTCTCTCCAATCAAGGTTTGTCTAATCTTTTAAGAGGCAGCAACAAAACATGGTTCTAGGTTAAAACATCTCTTAAAATTTTTTACGTGTTAACTTAAAAGCTTCAAGAACTTCCAGGAGAGGTGGGGAATAGGGAAAATAAGGAATAATATATGTAAAGGGAACAACAGGGCCCAGGCCTGATCACTGAGAATAGTGATAGGAAAATGTATGATGTACAGGAGACATAAGGAATGAGGGAAGCTGGCTGGTAAATGGGAATTACCAGAAAAGTAAGAAGACAAGGATAGTCCACAAGCCAAAGTCACAAGCCCATGAACTTAAGGTATGAGTAAAGATCTTGAAAAATGAGTATGATATCAATGCACAGGCCTGAAAGGAAAAGCTTAAAATTCCAGGAATGGGCCTAAAAATACTCTACTTTTCATTTCCTTTCAACTCTCTTTTGACTAATTTTCAGAGGAACCTATCATAGGAAAGCACTGACTTTTCCCACTGGTAGATTCCTACGGCCTCTTAACTTAGTAAAATAAAATACAGAAAACAGAAGCAAGGTGGAACATGAAGAATTGTGGCAAAGGCCAAAGCAATCAAGACACAGACCAAATGATTTCTGACAGCTGTCTACCAGGCTGAACTGCCAAGAGCCCTGCAGCTCTATGATGCTATGCTGCCCATTTCTGGACTTGTTTCTTAGCCATGTTTGCCTCCTATCAATTTATTTGGGCATCTTGGTGAGGTAGAAAAAGCTACTAAAAGAGCAGTGTTCATATTCTAAACCTACCACTTACTAGCAGGCTGGCTAAAGGCAAATCACTTCTCAGAAGGCTCACTTTCTTCCTCAAATCATGTATTATCACAGAGTTGTTGTAACAACACATTGTAAAGCACTATATAAAGGAAGCAAATACTAGCTTCATTAGCAGCCTATGGGGCAGGAAGTATATATAATGCTCTGTTTTATATAAAGCCTATCAGAATAAAGCACCAAGGACAAAAAAGCATCAGTGGCCAAGAGCTCCAGCTTTGTTATTTACTTTTATCTAGATAATAGCCACTAGGGGCTGCTATCATGTCAAAATACGATTATGTCTAATGTTTAGAAAAAAGATTTAAATAAAATAGCCATGAATATGTAGAGCCCATATCAGATTGCATGCCATCTTGGGGAGGGAGGTAGGAAGGGAGGGGGAGAAAACTGAAAACTCAAATGCTTATAGAAGTGAATGTTGAAAACTAAAAATAAATTAATTTTTAAAAAAACACAAAAGAAATATCCAAGGAAAACTTCACTTTTAGACTCACTTTACAGTCAAAAAGTCATGTGTGAATACATGTGTTTGCACCCACAAGCATGTGGAAAGAGTCCACCCTCAAAGCCTTTTCACCTTGGTAGGATCTGCTAGAACTTGCATTGCCCTGGAAGCAGCCTGGCTTGCCTCTGTGACATGCCAGACATGGAGGAAGATAGCAGGGGAAGGGTCTTCCTTTCAAAATAGCAAATAAATTAAAATAGTGAGTAAAGCTACAAAAACAATGTAGAACAATGTCAAACTCAAATGTAAACTGGGACCACTAAACAATACATGACAACTCTGTGGGCCACATATTGACCTTCAGAAAAACACATGTTAACATTATGTTCCATTATATTTATATTTATTTTTTTAAGTACCTCCTAATTACATTCTGTTTGACATCTCTGATCTAGGCCAAGTCCCCATAATTTCACAATTGTGAATTCAACAACTGTAATGACAGACATTTATATAGTGCAATTCACTGTGCAAAGCACTTTATAGTCTCTCAACAGATCCTGATAAAAGCCCTGTAAGGTGGGAGGTACAAGTATCATTACCCCCTGTTTTTATAAATGAGGGTCTGGAATGCTTTGCCCACAGTCAGTCACAATGCGTGCAACCCCTAGAAGCAGATCTGAATAAGCCTCCCCAATCCTAAGGCCGGGATTCTAGTCTTCCACAATTTTTGTGCTGTAAGCTTAATAGCCACAATGGAGGAAAGCTTGAAGAATCTAGTGAAACAAGTCTTCTCAATCCTGTGACATAACCAAACTACTGGAAAATTATAACCTTTTTAGCAGTAGTATTTTTACTTAGAATTCTAGCACTTCTTTAGCAACCCTAACACTATTTATTTATAAAATGGGGGGGGGCGCGCGCGGCAGCTCTAGGGATGTTCGTTTTCTAAATTTCAAGGAAGGAAGTTTAAATGAAATGTACAGGGTGTCAATAGGCCATGCTCCAGCATTTTAAGCAAGAGTCACAAGACTTTGGGTAGAAGGGGCCCTTAGATATCATCTGGAAATGAACAGAAGGCTATGAGAGGTGAAAGGACTTATCCAAATCACAGGACAAAGGAAGGATCAGAGACCAGGCTCAGAACCTACTCGTTCTCAGAGTAATGGTGGAAAAAACATAAAATAAGATACAGAGGATTACAAAGGAAACTCATTTTATTGAATTATAGTTAGTAATATATTAAAAAAAAAGTTCAATGGCCTCAGGTTAAGAATTTCTGATATACAGATATATTAATATGGAAACAATAGGAGAAACTGGCAATTTTCCTAATTGGTCATAAAAAATACCTTTCCTTGTGACTCCTTTTGGGTGCCCTGTTTCCAAAACAAAGATTTTAAGATTTTGAAACTCAAGATATTCTACCTACACTCAAGAAACAATGAAGCAGAAAGAACAGAAAATGACCAGTGTTTGGGTGAGGCAGGGCTTGGCATAAGGAACAAGCAGATGCCACAGCAGTTCTGCAAAAGGTTATGCCAGTGCCTTCTGCTTCTGACCTGCAGATGACTGGCTATTTCAGTCCTAAACCTTTTACAATAATCTCAGTGACAGAGGACCAGCTTAATCAAAGCTCATTCTCATTTCTAAACATGTCAGTTTTAATCCACAGGCTATGACATGAAAAATTAAAGAAAAGATACTCCTAAGTAGATCCCAAAACCAAAATATAGGTTGTCCCAAAAGTCTTATTGTGGTCTTAAATTTAAATAACTTCAGAAGCATAAATGCTACAAACTTACAAAAAACATTTGAAAGGCTAATTATTAGAAATGTTAACTACTGACATGTCTTACTAAAATTCAAAATCACCATCATCTTGTGCTACACATCACTCTACTCAATTTTTGAACTTTGTAAAAAATCTTCAGCAGCTGCTGCTCAGTGCATAAAAAATTGCATTTGTAATTCTGGCCTTAATGTAATCCAAAGAATGTAGCTTTGATGCATACATGCCAGTTCTGATGTAACCTCATAAGAAAAAGCCTAAAGGAGATATATCAGGTGACTGAGGTGGCCAAGCAAGTAAACTTCCTCAAACAATCCACTGGTCTGAGAAAGTGTCATCCAGAAACTCACACATGGAACATGTAATGATAAAGTATGCTGTCTTATTAAAATTAAAAATTTGTCAGTCAGAATTCATAAAATTAATATATGTAAAATAAATATGAATAATTAAACTTTAAAAGGATTTTTGGGTAATGTTGTATTATTTACTACTTCTGCAGTTATTAAAGCTTTTTTTCTTCTTTTTTAATTTATTTTTAGTTTTCAACATTCACTTTTATAAGATTTTGAGTTCCAAATTTTCTCCTCCTCTCTCCCTTTTCCACTCTCCAAGACAGCACGCAATCTGATAGGGACTATACATGTACAACCATATCAAACATATTTCTACATTATTCATGTTGTGAAAGGAGAATCAGAACAAAGGGGTAAACCACAAGAAAGAAAAAAGAGAGAGAAAATAGTATGCTTCAATCTGTATTCAGACTCCATTGCTCTTTCTCTGCATGTGGATAATATTTTCCATCATGAGTGGCGTGGAATTGTCTTAGATCATTGTATTGCTGAGAAGAGCTAGGTCTACCAAAGTTCTGATCCTCGCATTCTGCTCATGAAGTTATTAAAGGTTAAAACTGCACAAAAACTTTTGGAACACCCCGGATGTTTCAATTAAACCTTCTTCCTTGAAAAGGAAGAAAATTCACACCCCCAGAACTCCCTCCCTCCCCCTTTATAAATCAGCAGAGAAGCACTAGAATCCTAAGCAAAGACTCTGCTACCAAAAAGGCCCTTGCAAACATCAGACAGTGCCCCTGCCAGTTTTCTATGGGCCTACTCAACTCTCCTGCCCACCTACCTTGTCATCTGCTTTCATTGACCGCAGTCTCATGATCAACTGAAAGCGCAAAAAGTTATTTGTCCCAATAGACTGCAGCTCCAGTAGTTTGCAGAGGGCCACCAGCTGTGGTCTGGTCAGGTTGTCCAGAGTCAGCTCATCCTCAAACAGTTTGGAGAAGCGCAAGATCTCCTCATTGGTGGGCCTCTCTCCAGTCTCTCGTATCTGCAAACCAAACAGGAGACAAAGGCTCTCCACTGGGCCACAAGCAAGTCAGCCACAAGCCTCAAGGCATATCCAGGAACCCCATCTCCCCTTCATCTCTGAAGATCTAAAGCCCCATGGAATAGAGCACCCAGGTCCTGCACTGGGGTCCTGTCACAGGTTTCCCAGACTGGTCAAAGCATGTCTGAGCTAGAAAGGCTTCATCTCATCCAACCAAGACCTGAATGGGAACCAACTTTACTGCATCTCACCCCCAACCTATTTCAGTCTTAACTGACCTAAATGTTATTTATTTCTCATACTGGACCAAAATGCATCTCTCTGTAACTTCCTCCCATTACTCCTACTGCCAAATCATTCTTCCATAAAACTGTCCTTCAAATACTTGACGAGAATACCTTTTAGAAATTCGAACCCTCTCAATTTAGAAAGCACGTATCTTTAAGAGAGCTTTTTTTTTTTTTGAATTCTAAGTGGATTACCTGTCATCAAAACTCCAGGCAAACATTTCTAAAGCAAATCTAGCAACGTATCAACGAACATAAGTGTACTGGGTATTCATAATTTTATATAACTGTTTATTCTAAGTTTATGAGGATGTTCTTGGATGGGAGAGAGGCCTGAGAATCAAAGCTAATCACGTAAAATATAAGAAACCATTTTTTGTATTAAGGACAGTCTAGAAATAATTTTTTTCAAGGGAATCTTTATAGTCCTAAGTACTAAAGTTAAAATTACATACAGCAATATAGGTAACTGAAGCCACTGTACTTTGTGCTTTTGCATGAAACCAAAGGCCTAGCAAAATGAAACTTAATCACAGGTATTCAAAACCCTGACAATTACAAGTACTGCATGAGTCCAGAGACAAGGAATTTCAAAGCCCTCTCCATTTGGCTTGTTACTACATTTGGGAAAATGCTCTGACAAAACAAACTGAAATGTTAACAGAGTCCTCCCATGCCCACTACTCAACAAAGACATAGCCTTAGTCCTAGCAGGAAGCAACAGAACCCCACTCTACCGACAGCTGCCAGCTAGTTCCTGCATCATTATCTTCCTGAAGCCACCCATTCTATTTGGGGACAAGTCCATGTACTACAAGGACCTTTCATCTACTCAGCTAAAATTTACCTCCCCGTAATTTCTACCTATTATCCCTTAACTTCTGCCCTCTGGGACCAAAAGGAGTTTAATTTAATCCACCCAAATATCACCCCACATATGGCTGAAGACAGAACTTTTCACAGAGGTGAAAGCCCTCTCAATTTATAAGACTCCTTATGAATTAAAGGACCTTTCTCTCTTTTATGATTTCTCAGTTGCATTTCACTTAACTGGGACTGAAATCCAGGACAACAAGAAATGATGGATACTCAAAATTTAACTTGATGACTGTGAATTTTGAATTTATGAGAAAATCATCAAATGTGTTTCAAAAATCAAGTCTTAGAAGCAGTGGAATGAGTATAAAAACAATATTTTACTTTGGCCAGATCAACAAATATAATTTTGATAGATTAATAGCAAGTAATAATGAGTTCTCTTAGTCAAATATTGTTTTGAAAGCAGAACTGGCAGCATAGGTCCAATTTCTGCTGATTTGAGATGAACAAACATGGACAGATTTTGGTAATATGTAAAACACCACTTTATTTGTACGGTATCAACAGAAAAACAACTGCTAAATAAAAGTGCAATTTCCAAATGAAATGAAGCTTTACCCTTTTAAAGGTTATCGTTTATGATTATTTTTGCTCTTCTGACAGAAATCTTTCTAAAATGTATGGCATCTGCTCTTGTTTCAAGTCACTTCTCTGGGCTTGTTTCCTTTTCTTCAAAGTGAGAACAGATGATCCCTTCCAACTCTAAACTTCTCTAATTTTTATCTCTAAAGAAGACTAAACTCTTACTTGTGCATTTCAAAAGGAATCTCAAGCTACATCAAAATGAGGCTACTACCTGTAAATCCTCTCAACTTCCCTCGAATAGAACAAAATACAGCATGGCTCCGTCCTGGCATTAACTCCAATCAAAGCTTCTGTCTGGCTTAGCTCTTGTGACCATTCTACTTCTGGCAAGAAGAAAACTGTTCTTAGTTTGAAGCTTTGTGGAGAGAATAAAAAAGCACAGGCACGTGTGGGGGTATTGCAGGAGGGGCACAAGGTGCAGTCCCAGCTTTGCTACTGTGTCTCAGATAAGCCTATCACTCTTCTTCACTACGCTAAGGGAGCCCCAGAAATGAGCATGACAAAATGAGTGGACATTATTTTTCTCACCTTACAAATGGGGAAATTATCATCAATTGCACTGGGCCTTCTTATAGTCATGACTATAATAACAACTGTTCAGTACAGATTGGAACTTAGCCTAGTGCTGAATTAAATTGACTCTGTGAAAACATTAGCTTGAAAAAACTGTGGAGACTTTGCATTTTTTATGAGTAAACTGTATTTATGCATAAACATAAATACAAAATAGGATTATTACCTCTAGTTTACAAATGAGGAAACTGAAGCTCACAGAAAGGAAAGATGACTTGTTCATGGTCCCATGACTATACTACAGCAGGACTAAGATTACAACCCAAGTCAGTCTAAGGCCCTTCCATCAAAACTTACTTAAGTTTTCAGATTTAACACTAATAAAATTTCATAGTAAAATTTTCCTTCTAATGAATGTCCAAAGCAAAAAAGAAAGGAAGCAAGCAAGAAAGATAGATTTCAGATAACATTACAAAAATTGACAACTGGTTTAAGTTCCTTATGTAAATAGCTTCAAATGCATAAAGTCAGATAAATATTCTAAAACAAAACAAGTTAAACACTTGAGAGATCATATTCACCTTTTGAAAAAATTTTGAGAAGTCTTCTGTAGCATTTCCTTTAGCAGCTGTGTTTTTTAAGGCCATTTCCTCAATAGTGTCTTGAAGAAATTTAGCCACTTCAAGTTTTACTCTCAATTCTTTCTTCAATCTCTCCTCCTATAAAGGGGGGGAAAAAAGAAGCTTTGGCTCACAATGGCCTATCTCAGAAATACATATTAATTCTGAAAACTTGCTCTGCTGTATCTCACTCAAGAGTAACTACAACATCAATGTCTTCTCACTAGAGGATTGCCATTAGGAATTTGCAGAAACCGGGGAGCTGCCATCTTGTTGGCAGAAATGGACCATTTTATCATGGCTGGCTCCAAAAGAACAAAATACCTTCCCTATTATTTCACTTTGGAATACAGATCACAAAAAAAGTTTTATTTTACTTAAAATAGAATAGCATAATCAGGAAATCTCTAAGTGTACTGAAAATTACAGCAGTGCAATATAAAGTTAACACAAAGATTCCAAATTGACAACTATGGTTAACATCTGAAATTTGGCCAGTGAATTGAAAAGCTGTTTTAAGCAATTTTAAAAATCATTCATAAGCGAGCTCATTTTGACCCATAGCTATCATTACCTTTATGGACTGTGTCTCAAATGTTGACGGTAACATATTTGGGAAGAGCTTAACAGCAATTGGAAGCAGGAACTCCATGAATGGGACCACAATAAAGACTAGGAAAGGGACCAGGCGAAAGAGATCAGCACATATCCGAAGAAACTGGGGAAAAGAAAATTATTAGTGGGTAACTGAAAAGAATTATTTTTACAAAGGAAGAATGTTTTTTCCTACATTAGGATCACTGACAACTACATTATAAGGAAGAGACATTCTGTCCCCAGAGATCTTCAAGCAGGGCTAGAAAACCATTTGCCAAGGATGTCGCACAAGGTTTCTGACTTTAAATAAGGGCTAGATTAGAGGGATTCCACCTAGTTCTATCTTGAGTTCCTTTAAAATCTAAGATTCTGAGTATGATTTTTGATATACATTCTACAAATTTTGATATAATGTAAATTAAACCACATACAATCTCTTCTCTTTTTTTAAGGCATGTTAATTCACATAGTATGAGCACTTTAATATACATTCATCAATAGAACAATAATATGGCTATGTATTATAGGTGGTTTAAAGCATAGAAAGTTAACCTTTACAGATTATCTAAGGTAGGCAGCTCAGCCTTCCCATTTTAGGCAAGGAACCAAAGAAGAAGAGGAAGCAGAGAAGGAAAGGGTCCCAAGCCCAGGTGAGCTGAGGTGAGGTGAGGTGAATAGCCATGGCTGCCCAGGTAATAGAGATCTGGTCATGTCCACAGCAGAAGTGAGGCTGGGAAGGGACATCTTACACCAGCAACACAGGACTCACCAATAAGGTAACAATGTTGAAGATCTAGACAAGGCTAATTCATTTCCCTTTCAAGGGTTTTTGAAAACCAAGAACACTGGGGCAGCCAGATGGCTCAGTGGATAGAGCAACAGGCCCTGTAGTCAGAAAGACCTGAGTTCAAATTCAGCCTCAGACACTTACTAGCTGTGTGACCCCGGGCAAGTCATTTATCCCCAAATATCTCTCCAAAAAAAGAGAGAGAGAGAGAGAGAGAGAGAGAGAGAGAGAGAGAAGAAAAGGAAAAGAAAGAAAACCAAGAACACTGAGTTATCAAAGAAGGGGCAAGCAATACTAGAATTTACACAAAGATACCTACAAAATAGGCCTTAAAGACAATTACCCAACACCTAAAACTCTACAATATGATCTAGATTATAAAAGACTCTTTTTTCAAAAACTCAACTGGGGGCTGGAAACTTGTTGAATGTGGGTGATGAGTAGAGTGGGGTTTACCATCAATCTGCTATGTAACAAACTCATGCCTCCAGAGGTTGCTGCTAACATTACAGAGTGCATATCTTTCTTTCTCCTATCAGAGAATGAGTTTCTTGTTGCATCAACCTTAAAAGATCTCCACTATATCTCAAATGAACAACAAAGAATTTTCTGCTCAAAGGGAATCCTTGAGAGATAAGCATTTTCAGTTTCTGCAGATAAGCAATGAAACACTTAAAGAAGAAAATGCTAAGCCAAGAAGAAAGATTAATGAGATTCAAACTTCTCTGAAACGCAGGCAGGAATGGTGAGAATATTTGACTAGGAATTAGAAGTAAAAATGATAAATAGAAAGCAACCTTGAACTGACAGTACAAGTGGACTAGAATCTAGAGATGATGCCTAAGTGGACTATGAAGGCAAACTTACGAAACCTGAAGCAAGAAATAAAAGTGCTACAGGCTCAGCCCATAAGACACGGCAAAGCCTTTGTAATCTGATCAATGTGCCAATCTAATATAGTTAAACAAAACTGTCATTGTCTTGCAAAATCTCTAGTTTGTCATGAACAATGTGTGTAGTTCAATAAAGGAGTTGCTTTCTGGAGCTAATATATTGAAATTAAAATACTGTTACTGAAACAGCCATGCTGTACAATGACTAACTTTGATAGACTTAGTCCTTCTCAGCAAATACAAGAATCTAAGACATCTCCAAAAGTCTCATGACGGAAAATGCTATCCACATCCAAAGAATGAACTATGGAGTCTGAATGCAGATTGAAGCATACTATGTGAAAATATATTTAATAGGAATTTTTATGTAAAGCCAGTATCAGATTGTGTGCTGTCTTGGCAGGGAGTTGGGGGAGAAAATTTTTAAACTCAAAAGCTTATGGAAGTGATTGTTGATAAATCAAAATAAATTAACAAAAATTTTTTTTAAATCTCTCCTAAAGACCAAAATAAAACCTAAGAAGGGATATTCTTTAATCTTCATCAAAGACATTCTGCCCCTTCATCATCCATCAGTTTTAATCATTATTCTGATTGAGATTAGTAAGATTTTCATCAGTTAAAATGGATTACACTCAACAGGTGATTAATAAATGTTGACTGAATTTTAAAAAATAAAATAAAACATTGCTACTGAAATCCTTAAATCCAGGCAGAAAACTCAGAAATTAAGGAGGAAGAAAAGTCCTGACAAAACATTGAAATGACTTCTGGAGTAAAGCTCTGCTTGCAGCCTGAAATTACTATTGTTTACTTGGGGAATACAATCATGTCTTTAAATACACAGTCCTCTCTTCCTCAGAATTCATCATGAAACAGATTTCATGACCTAACGTGATGGCTGCTGGACTTGAGGTGGACCAACTCTTTTCAGGTAAGAAAAATATTTCATAAATTCTTTCAATCAATAATGACTCCTTTACTCACAACTGGAAAAAGGGAATAATTAACATTAAAGAAAGAAAAAGAAAAGGTTAAATATTAAGGAACTTTCTAAAGAAATATGACATCTAGAATAAGGATAGCTTCCTATTGTTCATTATAATATTAACTGGATATTAATTGCAACATGATCCTAATAAGTATCCTTTAACACTGCGTTGAAGAAAAAAAAACTGGGGCAGGTAGGTGGCCCAGTGGATAGAGAACCAGCCCCGAAGTCAGGAGGACCTGAGTTCAAATCTGACCTCAGACCAAACACCTGACACTTACTAGCTGTGTGACCCTGGGCAAGTTACCTAACCCCAATTGCCTAAAACAAACAAAAAATTATAAAAACTGTAACATAAAATGTACATGACAGAGATGACTAACTTTTGCCTTGAGAATCTTAAATCCTCGCTAATGTTTTTGAAGATTCATGCTTACATTTGTAAGAAATGGTTTAAAAAATACACACATGCAGGTTAAGTAACAATTAAACAACTACAGATTTAAAGGGCCCCACAAAGTACCAGTGTGCTGCTCTAAGTCTGTTGCAGAAATTGTTTAGTTTTAATATTCTATAGTGCTAGGAACAAAAGGTCAACACTATCACAAGAATCAATTTTTAAAAATAAAAAGGAAGGGGGTCTAACAGTACTAGATTTCAAACTGTATTAGTAAGTGTTAATCATCAAAACAATATGCTACTGGATAAGAAGTAGAGCGATTGATCAATGGAATAGATTAGGAATACAATACAGAGAAGCAAATGAGCACAGTAAACTAGTGTTTGATAAACCTAAAGATCCCGGCTTTTGGGGCAAGAACTCACTATTTGGCAAAAATTAACTGAGAAAATTGGAAAGTAGTCTGGCAGAAACTAGGCACAGACCAACATTCATACAACATATACCAAAATGAGTACATGACTTAGACATAAAGGCTGATAACATAAGCAAATTAAGGGAGCATGGAAGAAATTACCTATTAGATGCATGGATACAAAAGAGTTCGTGAACAAACAAGAGATATAGAGGTTCACACGAGGTAAACTGCCTAATTTTGATTACATAAAACTTAAGTTGTACAAACAAAACCGATACAGCCAAAATTAGAAGAAAAGCAAGAAACCAGGGGAAAATATTTACAGCAAGTTTCTCTGAAGGTTTCATTTCTCAAATATATAGAGAACTAAGACAATTTTTAGGAGCCATTCCTCAAATGATAAATGGTCAAAGGATATAAACAGGCAATTTGCAGAAGAACAAATTGAAACTTTTTATAGTCCTATGAAAAAATTCTCTAAATCATTATTGATTAGAGATTGCAAAGTGAAACAATGTTGGGGTACCACCTCACAACTATCAGAAATGAAAAATGCTGGAGGGGTTGAGGGAAAATAGGTACACTAATGAACTGCTGGAGGAGCTGCCAACTAGTCTAACTATTCTGGAGAACAATTTGCAACCATGCTTAAAAGGACTACAAAACTCTACATACCCTTTCACTCAGCAATGTCACTACCAGGTCTATACCCCAAGAAGATCAAAGAAAAAGGAAAAGGATGCATGTGTACCAAAACATTTATAGCAGGATCTTTTTGTGATTACAAAGAACTAGAAACTGAATTGGACACTGAGGAGTTGCCCTTCAATTGGGGAATGGCTGAACAAGTTATGATACAAAAATGTAATGAATACTACTGTGCTATAAGAAATGATGAAGGGGATCGTTTCAGAAAAAAATGTAAAGACCTATATGAACTGATAGAAAATAAAGCGAGCAGAACCAGAACAATCTACACAGTAAAAGCAACATTGTACAGATAATCAACTGTCAAAGACCTAGGAACTTTGATCAATACAATGATCTACCACAACTCCAAAGCACTCATGATATTAAATGCTATCCACCTCAAGATAGAGAACTGACAGTCTCAGAGTGCATATTGAGGCATATTTTTTTCCTTTATTTCTCTTGGAAGGAGGGGAGGACATGACTAATGCAGAAATGTTTTGCATAACTTCATATGTATAATTAGTATTGTATTATTTGCCTTCCCAATGGGTGGGGGATAGGCTGCAGGGAGAGAATTTGAAACTGAAAATAAAAATTTTTTTTAAAAATAAAAAATTCTATAATGCTAAATTCATTAAATGTAAGCTTTTACTTTCTTAATATATGTTAAAAAAAATTTCTGCTGAGGTGCATTGCTAAACTTTCCAAATGATATTTCAGATAACAAAATTAAGGAAGCAGAGGTTTAGGATCTTTCCAATATGCATGAAACAGTCTATCCAGTGCCTTTCCAAAATTTGTCTAAGTGCACACTACATTCCATAGATCTTTTGCTATGTGATGTAAATGTTCTTTTTAAAAAAATAAATCATAGCTTTTCCTATCTTAAAAAATATATATTTCAACGTAAGCAAAGCTGTTTGCTACCTAGTCCAACTC